CACTGGGTATTCTCAATTAAATTTTGCTGACCTGGATTTGAACTGCTGAGCTGTAAAACAGGCTGCACCTATCTTACGCGCACGGTTCCAGAAGCAATCAGGCGTTGTTTTGAGTCATGCCAGTGTCTGCCTCGGCTCCTTATGGGTTAAAGCTCACCAGCAGCAGAAATGTGAACTCGAGCGTTCAGAGGGCCGTTAATAAAGAGCAGCAGCGAGGCTGGCCAAAGCCTGGAATGACATAATCTTTGAGCTGGAAAAGACCTATAAGGCAATGCAGTCAGCATCCTGGCCAGCAGAAGATTGCTTCTTAAAGGGCATTGGGAAATTTCTTGTACAGCCCAGTCATAACAGACTAAAGGAATTGGGTTTCCCCCATTGTCCCCAGGATATTTGTCCCCCCCCTCACTGGAGCTGGCAGCAGCGGTGCAGCCAAAGCAGAGAACAGAAAGCTTTCAATCACATTTTCAGGCCACTGGCTGTCTTCTGGGCTAGCAAAACCCCTTCCTTCTCCGTTCTGAGCGCCCTCAGTGGGCTGTCTGCATGCCGAGGAGCTGCTCTCGGAGTCGAGCAGTTTCTGATGCAGCAGCACGGTGACACATGAGCTGCCGATTACCTCCAGCGTGTGCGCGCCCCATTTCGGCATGAGGCGTGCGTGGGGTCAGGCCCCAGCCCCTGCCTTGGCAGCAGAGCGGCTCCTGCCCCCCCCTGCGAGCAGTAGCCCCGGTCATGAGCAGCGTTGTCTTATTATTAGTATTATCTGACCTTTGTTTTTTCCCTTTGGTGGCTCCGAACTGCTCTCACCTGTCATTCCAATGGCTAAGCTGGCTTTGGAGACTCAGCTCTTCTCTTCTCACCCCTCACCGCCCTGAAACTGAGAGTTTGGTGCTGTTGTAGGGGCTGGGGGGTGAATACCAACCCAGCCTGCAGTGCCCTGGGTTGGGACCTGCGCCACCAGGAGCTCCCTCCACCTGAACTCATTAACCCTCAAAGAATTTTTAAAAGAGATTTTGGATTTGGCATGAGCCTGGTTTGGGTGCAGGTGTCCCTCTGCTGCTGAGGGTTCCTTCTAGCCATTAGAAATCGAGTCGCTGGTGACTCAAATGGGTCAGCAGAAGGTTTTAGCACGGATAGCTTTGTGTTTACTGAAAAATTGGGATTCAGCTTTCCTGTGCAAAATGCTTTAAGCACCGTGTAGTGCTGGGTGTGTTTACTACCCTCAAGGTGCTCGGTAGCACGACTTAGCAGGAGGGAGCCTGAGGGGTGGCGTGGTCTCTGCAGCCTGTTCACAAAGCTGCGACAAGCATTTTCCAAACCATGTGGGACCCTTCAGCCTCACCCATTTCAGCTCAGCGCCTCTGGAGTGGCCAGCTCAGCCTGCCCAGGTCCTGCTGCTTCACCTGACGCTGGAGTCACCTCCGTTGCAGGCGCAGCATGCTCGGCAAACCCTCAGTGTCTGGGAGCGCTGCTCCTTCCCCTGGAGCGCGTGGTCTCTGATCAGCGCACCGGAGTGCCATTTGGACTGACAGCGTTGTGTAAGCCATGCGGAGCCGAGGCAGCTTGGAGACACTCACTGCTTTTTCCCTGAACTGCCTCTTTTCCGCGCACTGATTTGTTTCTTATTTCCAGCTGGGGCCTAAATAACGAAATTCCCACAGCAGGTGAGACAGAACCAAGATCTGCTTTCACTTGATATGCGCGTTCTCCTTGATACCTTTTATCAGATGTTTGCCTGCAGAATTTCTCTGTGGTCGCATTGAATTTTCCTGCGACAAAAAGGAAATTGTCCTAAAATGTCCCTGTGCCAAAGGAGAGCCTCAGCTCAGAGAGGCAGCCTTGCATAGCTGAATGGGGCAAGAATTATGGGGCAGGACCGCACCAAATTCTTGTTGGCCCAGTACGGGCACCGTGCACCAGTGCGCCTGGGGGGAGCCGGATCAGGCGCTGCCCTCACCAACCCCTCTCTCTCCAGACCCCAGTCTCCCACCAGGGAAAGGCGCTGGCACAGCCAAGCAGCGTCTTCCAGGGCGTGAAGTGACTGGAGCAGAAAGTGCCTGCTGCTCGGGGTGTGGGTGCAGGTAGGGCTGCAGCTCCTGGTGGGCAGTGGGGCATGGCCAGAGGGCTTCTGGCAGGGAAGGGGCGGATGGGCAGAAGACGTGGCTTCAGTGTGAGCGTGCTTCTCAGCCTTCAGCGGGCTTCCTGGATGGAAAACGCATGTCCTGGTTTGTGGTCAGAGTTCAGCTCTGTGCCTCCAGTTATTTGCTGTATCTGCATGGAAACAAGGACATGGATTTTGAGCTGTGTTGCAGTGTGTGAAGCCAATATTTGGCGTATTGCTTGCTTTCGCCTTTTGATTCATCCCCCAACAAAAACTCCCTTCAGGGTGACATTTCTCCATTTTGTTTCACACAGCAGCATTGGCTCATGACCCTCTGACATCTCCCTCTGCTCTCTAAAGCTGACCAAAACATCTCGACTTTCTTACGGGTACAAAAGCTGAAAAATCATAGCCTCCGTCTGCTCGTGCAAGCTGCTGCTCACATGGCACTGTGCCATGCTGTGGCCTCTGCTGCGACCATATTCCCGAGGAGTCCATGAGGATTTTCTTCCTTGTGTGTACCCTAAAAGCAAGGTCTGCCTCATTAGATTATAGCTGAAAAGTCACAGCCAGATGGTCAAACATCAGTGTCTGCAACCAAAGGAGCAGAGAGATTTTTAGGTTCAAGGGTTCCCTATTATGTAATGGCACAGACACAGAGGAGGCTGCAGAAGACTTGGCTTCTTATTTCTTTAGTTTTACTAATTATGAGAGGATTTTTTTTATTTTTTTTTCCCCAGCATGGACTTTGTGATTGGCAGGATCCACCATTAAGAGGCTCATTGCTGTTTTCAGTGAAAAGACAGGGAAATAACTTTGATTTTAGCCCTCTAAGCAACAGCTGCTCTGACAAACACACCCTCCGTGCGTACCCAAGCTGTTACTCCCTGCAGGCTGTCAGGTGTGCTGTGTTACAGGAGGACACATCACACTGGGATCAGGGAGAGGGCTCTGCAAGTGACCGCTGAGGACCTGGAAAGCCAGCACTGGCTGCACAGCAAGGACTGCCTTTGTTGGAGGAGCGTTGTGTGGGACACGGTGCCAGCAAGCCCAGAGGTTGGTGACAGCATCTCGGCATGCAGCACAGGCGTGGAAGTCTGTGGCTTCTCTCCTGGCATACGGTTGACTTTTAGTAAGTGTTGCTGAAGTGTCTTCTGGCTGGGGATGCTGAGAAGTCTGGCTCAGAGCTGCCTGTGACGACTGGGCTTTAGCCTAAACCTGGTGAGTTAAAAGTAGGAGAAAATTCTTGAGAAGGACAGGCAGCAATGGGGCAGCATGCAGCTGGCCGGTGCTCTGCGACGGCATGCTCTGGGGCAGGCCCTATTCAAGGCAAAGGAGGGGGGTGCTGTGGTTAAAACAGATCTGGAGAAGCTCATGGGGCAGAGGATCTGCAGCCTGCTGCACTGGGTACACCTGGGTGCTGGACCCTGCTGCCTCTCACACATTTTATTGTGCTGGGGAGCTCCTGCTCTAAGCATGCTGCCGGAGCTGGGGTGACTTTGTGCCATTTTTTTTTGTGCTCCTGACCCCGAGGGCCTTCTGTAACTCAACATTCAAAAAAAGCCTGTGGGTTATTTCTCATACACACATCACAGTGGTATCCAGACACCAGCCCGACATTGCAGGGGGGCACGGAGGAAGATTCTCCCATCACCACGGGGATGGTGGCTGCCTCCCCCTACTGTCACCTCGAGCCTGTCTTTGTGCCCACATTGTTGGGGGTGTTACTGCTGTGCTGTTGGGAAGGAGGAGCTGGGGTATGGGCGCTGGGCACCATGCGCTTTGGCCTCCCAGCGGAGGGCTGCTGGGGCTGGCCATGGTTCTCTGAGCCATCCGGTGTGGGGCTGGCTGGCAGCAGTGACAAACACGTCCCCTGTCCTACCCGTATGGCTGAAGGACATCAAACGGCAGCAGCGTGCTGCAGCCCTAGCCCTGCTCTGTGCCTTCATCCTCGGCCTCCGTCCTCCCAGGGCTGAGGCCCTCAAAGCGCGTGTGGCCCCGCAGCGTGTCAGGGATGCCAGCGCACTGCTCCTGCCGTCCAGTCCAGGCGTGCAGATGCTCATGGACTGGACTGGGGGAGCCCTCTCGTGGCCGATGTGCCGAGGAATATGGCTGGAATGAGGAGTCTGGCTGGAATGAGTCTGGCTGGGCCGAGGAGTCCGGCAGGGCCGATCTTTGCATGGCAGGACCAGAAGCCAAATCCAGGCCTCGCTGCGACCCCGGGGCCAGGGGACAGGGACCTGCTCGTGTATGCTTGCGGTGGGATGGGACAAGGTTAGGAACACTGGCAGGACCCTGAATGGAACTGACCCAGCCCTGGGGTGTCCCTGGGGGGGGACAGGGACCTGCTCGTGTGTGCTTGCGGTGGGATGGGGACAAGGTGTGGTGTCCCCTCAAAGGGACAGGGACCTGCCCATGTGCCCCTGCGATGGGATGGCTGCTCTTGCATCCCAGAGGTGGGCAAGATGCTGGCCCCCCGGGAGGCAGGGATTGGTGCACAAGTTTGCATCATGGCACAGGGAGTGAGCCACGTCCTTGTCACAGGGCAGGCACTGGGCTGTGCAGTGCTGTGCTGGGACAGGGAGCAGCCACGTCCCTGCTGTAGGGCAGGGTCCCCAGACAGGCAAGGGGACAGAGTGTGGTGGCACTTACCACCAGCTGTTGCCTCCATGCTGCTCTGCTGCCCCTCAGTCGAACATGATGGTTGGGGTGTCCCCAACCCACAAAGCCCACCTGGGGTGGCACATGGGGTGCAGGGAAGGAGGGTGGAGGGGAACGTGTGGGACCAGAACATCACCATGGCCATGACATCTCAGTGGAGGTGCAATTTGGGGCACTACACATCACACCACCCCGCACAGCCGCTCCCACCCCACCATGCCCCAGAGGAAGGAAGAGACCCCGCTGAGTTTTCCAAGTCTTTATTGTAAATAAAGTCTGCGACATTGCAGGAGGCGTCCCGGGGGCCGGGCGACGCGCACCCAGCAGGTCCCACCAGCTCCCTGGCGCGTGCGAAGCGGGAGCGCGGGCACGAGGCGAGGTGCGGCCGGTGGGGGGGGGGACAGGGGAGGGCCAGGCCGAGCGCAGGGAGGGCCGGGTAGCGCGAGCGAGTAGGGCGGTGCAGGGCAGCTGGCGGGCAGCAGCGGGCCGGGGGCTTGCTGCCAGCCCCGGGGCTTCTCCTGGCATCAGCTGGGCCGGGGCTGTTCGACTGGGCCTGGTGGAGGCTGAGGGGGGGGCTCGGGAAGCACTGGGTGCCCCCCCCCCCTTTTTCTCCCCCAGTCTGGCCCTCCCCAGCACATGAGCGGCACTGCTTGACTGTACGGCATTAAAATCATTGAGAAAAAAAATATTTATATATATTTATATATTAATGTCCCCCAAACCAGTGACGAATGTGGCTTCTTGCTGTGAAAGTGGCAGCAGAGGAAGGACACAGGGCCCCCCCTCCACACAGGGCCTGGGGAGGGGATGTCCCCTCGCAGCGGGGATCATCCCGCCACTGCAGCCGTGACAGCTTTGGGGACAGTGTGGTGACAGAGGACGGAGGGGAGAGGGAGGGGTCCCAATACAAATACCCCCGCCCTCCACCCCCATGGCCCTCAGCCCCAGCCCCAGGGCACCCACCTGCATTCACACCCGGTGGCTGAGGCACATGAGGGGCCACCACCACCTGCAGCTGAGCCTGGGGATGTCCTGGCCACCCCCTCACGTCCTGCTGCACCCCCACACCAGCCCACCCCATAGGGCTGGGGACATAGGGACAGCAGGCACGGTGCTGGCCCTGGGTGGGGGTCCACAGCCAGTGATGCTTGAGCCAGCACAGCTGAGGCACCCTTGGGTGCTGTGGGCTCTCACAGCACACCAGGGGACATGTCTGGGCTTAGGGACTCCAGCCCTAGGTCACCCCCCCAGGCACCCACCCTCCCCTGCCTCCATGTTGGCTCCAGGGGATGACAGCGGGGACCTCCCCCTAGTACCGAGTCTCAGTGATGCTCCGAGGGGCCTGTGGAGGCCCTGAGTGCTCTGTGGGTGTGTGGTTTGGGGGGGGGGGGACACCTCATGCAGGGCACCACAGGGACAGGGGGTGGGTGACACATACACCCCCCAACAGCCATGAGGGTGACATGTGGCACGAGCTGTGCCTGCCATGGGGACCGCTGACAGGGGTAGGGTGACACGGCCCTGGGCTCACCCTGTACCTCAGCACCTGAGTTGGCCCCTTGCCCTCCCCAGCGCCACCATTTTAGGGTTCACCTGTCAGGGCTGGGGAGGTGGGGGGAGGACACATGACACAGGGAGAGCCTGGCACCCATGGGTGCTGGACCCCATGGACAGGAGGCGGAAGAGTGCAGCCATGAGATGGAGTAAAAAGGGGGGAGAAACTGGGGGGGGCAGGGGGCAGAGAAGGGGGTTGTACACCTACTGCACATCCAGGGGCTGCTTTTTGGTCTCCACAGCTGGGGGTGCAGATCCAGCCCCTGGGGTGGTGGGGGACAGGCCCTGCTCTGGGGCGGGGAAGGGGTGGAAAAACAAACTGGCCTGGTAGTGGGAGATACTGGCCTGGAACTGGGGGATTCTGCCCCCAAAGCTGGAAGATTCTGATGTGGGTTTGGGGGGGGGGGGGGGGAAAGAGTCCCAGCCCCCCCCCCCCCCCCCAGAGCCATGCGGGTTTGGGGGCTCCTGGCACGGCCCCCCCAGGTACATTCATCATGGTGCCATGAGTGACTCCAGCCCCGGGGGGCCTGGACATTCGTGGTGGTGCGGCAGGGGTCGAGGGGGGGGGGGGGTCCTGCAACCAGGCCCCCCCCGTGCTCTCCTCCCTCCTCAGGCGGACTCCTGGCAGCTGCGCCCCGTTTAATTGCTGTTAATTAGGCGCTGGAGGGGGGGGGGCACGAGGCAGGGAGGCTCCGCTCAGGTCCCCCCAGACCTGCAACACAGAAGTGAGGAGCGCTTTAGTGTGGGGATGCTGACACAGGGGGTGGGGGGGGTGGGGGACACAGGGGACACTGAGCCCAAAAGAGCCAGCACCGGGGGGGGCCGCTGCCAGGGCCCTGCTCGCCTGCTGCGGGCACCCGGCAAGTTTATTCCCAGGGTTGGTCCCCCCCCCTCGGCTGGCTCTTTGAAGCTATGGGGGGGGCCACAGAGATGGAGACAGCACAGGGGCAGCCGGACACACAGCGACACGGACAGACGGGCCCATGGCGGCAGTCCCAGCCCGGGGACGGGGGGGTCCCGTGCCGCTGGGCCGCTGGTGCCTGACGGTGACGAGGAGACGACGGGGGGACAGGCGGCGGGGGCTACACTCCCTGCTGTGCCGGGTCGTACCTTCCTCGGCGGATGTTCCTGGGGGTGGCGGGGGGAGAGGACAGGAGCGTCAGTGTCCCCCCCATGTCTCCCTTTCTCCATTTCATGTCCCCTCCTCTGCCACTGCCCCCTGACCCATGACACCCCCTGCTTCCACGGGCAGCGGCCAGAGCCCTGTGCACATAGGGGTGCTGGTGCCCGAGGACACAGCAGGGACGGGGCTGGGGAGAGCACCCCCCGCACCCCGCACCTGGGGACAGATGGGCAGGACACAGCTGGGGTCAGGGTGACAGTGAGGTCCCGGTGCTGCATGCAGGCAGGGCCAGGGGGCAAAGGGGTATGGGGACAGGGGCACCAGGCATCCTCGCATCCCCAGGGGATGGCACCAGGGCCACCTTCCCCAGTGTCATGCTGGGAGATGAGGAGGAGAAGGATGAAGCATGCGGCATCTGCTTACTTAAATCCCCAGCCAGTCCCTCCTAGGACAATGGCAGCCACCAGCACGGCCCCAGCGATGGAGCCAATAATGATATTGGTGCCACTGGGACCTGGGCCGGGGAGAAGAGGACAGGGACACAGATCAGCAGGGACGGGGCCACGGGACACCCCGGGGACCCGGCTGTGCCCAGCTGAGGCACAGTCCTGGGATGGGTGGGGAGGGAGCTGGGGACACGGTGGGAGCCCCCGCACAGTGCACACTGACCCTTGTATCGCTCCGTCTCGCCTGTGGGCTTTGGCTCGGGGATGGGGTCGTAGACACTGCAGTCCTTCCCCGTCCACTCGGGCTGGCAGATGCACTTGCCCTCATTGCTGCAGACCTGTGAGGGGGCAGCATCAGCACCGAGCAATGGCCCCGCGCACCCCTGCGAGCCCCCCCTGTCCTCACCCCATGGTCAAAACAGATCTTCCCATCCCAGCTGCCGGGACAGGAGCTGAAGTTAAAGGCTGTCACTGGAAGGCATTTATGGTCAAGACACAGCATGCTGGGCCCGCAGGGCGTCCCGTCCTCCACGTAGCTCAGGTCCGAGCCGTCCACCAGCTGCACGTGGCCGCCCCTGCGGGAGGGCAGCAAGGGGGTGATGCAGGGACCCCCGCGCCCCAGGGTGGCCCCAGCCCTGTGCCCGCGGTGGCACCCACCTGCAGTCCACATAGCGGTTTTGATGGAAGAAGGTCATAGTGGCAATCTCGCCGCTGAGCTCGCCCAGCCGGGGCGCGCCCGAGATGTTGGCGCAGAGGAGGAAGCCGCAGAGCACGTCCCTGCAAGGCACGGGGAGGGGCGATGGCACCAAGGGGGACGCGTGGCAGGTGGGAGGGCGTGGGTGGGGGGCTCGCTCACTGCTTGTTGCACTGCATCCAGCCCGAGCCCTCGCGCCCACAGTTGCCCCTCTCGGTGCCCTCCACGTTGAGCTTCTCATAGCAGAAACGCTCTGCTGAGCCTGGGAGAAAGCAGGTGTCACCCATTTGCCCCCGGTTCCCCACCCCCAGCAACTCCCCCGCTGCAGGGGATGGGGCGTGGGGCTCCTCTGAGCACCTTGGGGCTTTCTGCAAAGACATCGCCACCCCATGCTCCCTGATGGGCACAAGGTATGGGATGGGCAGGGCACTTACTGCGGCCCCACAGCGCGTTGCACTGCCGGTCTCGGGTTTTGCAGCGCCCACCATAGCATCGGCCCTGGGGAGCAGGGAGCAGTGTCACTGGCATGACTGGCACCCGTGGGTGAGTGCCCAAGAGGGGGCTTGGGCAGTGCAGGGTGGCAACCCCAGGTGCGTGTGCTTGGGGCACACAACCCCGGAAACACAGCCCCAGTTGCATGAGCACGGGGAAGGCTTGCACAGGAACAAGGACCCATGCACACAGAGGGTTTGCAGCGCACGGGGACCATGCCTGTGGGCACACATGCACAGGGAAGACTTGTGTGACATAAGGGCCATCTCTGCTGATGCACACACATGGGAAAGCCTGCAGGGTATGGCGACCATGACTGTGTGCACAGGGAAATTGCGTGGCAAAGGGACCATGGCTGCAGGTGCGCACAGGGCTGTGCAGGCATGGATGACCCCAGGCACTGGGGGGGGCGTTCGCACAGCCCAGGGACCAGAGCTGCAGTGGGGTCCTGCTCTCCCCAGTGCATGCACCCCATGCACTGCAGCTGCCAGCACCGATGCTGGAGCCCACAGCATGTGCCCGAGCCCCTGGCTGCGTCCCACGGGGCAGACTCACCTGCTCGTTTTCGCAGAAGTAGCCATCCAGCTTGTGGAGGTTGGGGGGACACTGGGGGTGGGCAAAGAAGCTGGGTGAGGCCATGAGCCCCCTTGAGGCCCCACAGCCCCTCTCTGTCCCTGCCAGCCCAAGTCCTCACCTGGCTCGAGTCCCCAGTGCAGGTCTCGGGGATATCACACTCGTTCACAGCCTCCCGGCAGGACACGCCACGCGGCTCGTACTGCGCAGGGGAAGGCACACGCGTCGGCACAGAAACCCCCGCAGCCCCCAGGGACTTTGTGTGCCGCAGGACACCGTCCCCGCCGCCTGCCCCGCACCTTGCAGCCCTTGCAGCACAGCCCGTCGCTGCACATGGCGTCGTGGGTCAGCGTGCACTTCTTGCAGCAGTTGCCTCCGCTCTTGGCGCATTCCTGCCGGGGCCAGTGGCAAGCACGTGAGCCCGCTGCTGGCCCTGCTGCTCACCGCCGGCCCCGGGCCCCGCTCACCGCCAGCGAGCCGCAGTCGCACTCCTCGCCCGCCTCCACGAAGCCGTTGCCGCACTCCGGAGGGTCCAGGAGCTGTCAGGGAGAGAGACTGCTGCAGCCGGGGGCATGCGGCTGGTGCTGGGCACAGCACTCCCACCCCCAGAGCTCCCAGGGTGGGGTGAGCCCCCCGGCACCCCAAAAGGGCTCTGCACCCCCAAGGACAGCAGGACCTGCCAACCTCTCATTTTGCAGGCAATTGTGCATCTCAGTCAGTCAATTAAGAACCAGGGCTGAAGCCTGCACCATTACCTTGCGCATCACAGGGCTGGGGCAGGCCATGAGCCTTAGGGGACCCCCTGACCCTCCCCAGCATTGCTCACCCCCGTTTTGCACCCACCCCAGTGCCGGGCCCGCTACCTTCAGGGGCTTGTTGAAGAGGCAGCTGCCACCGCCATCCTGCAGGAACTGGTTGTACTCGTCGATGCTGCAGCGGGAAAACTTCCGTGGGAGGTAGTACCTGCGGCGGGGGGACGCAGTGACCCCAGGGGATGCCACCCCCAGGCAGCATCTCCCCACCCCGGTGCTGCGGAGTGGGCTGCCCAAAGCCAACAGGTCCATGCAGGGACACAGCCCCCTGAGGGGCTCTCACCCCGTGTCCTCCATGATGCAGCCCAGCCACGCGTCGGGACACCGGCAGTCCCCTGCGAGGAGAGAGGAGAGGAGCTGCACCCCCCGGCAGCCCCCAGGGGTGGCACCCCGTGCCTCCCGCCCGGCGGGTACCTGCCGAGGTGCGGTGCTTGTTCCACATCATGCCCACGTTCTGCCCCAGCGTCTGTGCCAGCGTCACGGCCATGGCTGCCACGTTGCCGTACTGCACGGGGGGGACAGCGGGGTCACGGGGGGGGGGACCCCACGCCCAGCCCACCCGCCTGCTTTCCTCACCCACCTCGTTGACCCCCCCGCCGCGGCCGGGCGAGCAGATGCCCCCCACGAAGGCGGTGCCGCTGCGGCTGCTCTGAAACGTCCGTCCCCTGCAAGGGTGAGGGAGGAGGTGATGGGCAAAGCGGCCGCTGGCTCCCAGCCCCGGGGGAGGCGGCGTGGCCACGGCGCTCACGAGAAGAGGTGGACGGTGTCGCTCTGCTCCGGCATCGCCTCGCGCCGGTACTTCATGAACTCGTTCAGCGTCTCCAGCGAGTCCTCCTCCATGCGGATCCGGTCCTCGGAGGCCCAGGTCTCCATGGCCACCAGCACGATGCGGGTGTTGAGCTGCTCCTTGTAGATCTGCGAGGGCGAGAGGACGGCGCTAGGGACAAACCCGCAGGGGGCCAGGGACGAACCCGCTGGGGACAGCCCCGCGCTCACCATGTCGGCCAGGTTGACCACGGACTTGGCGAAGTTGCTGGTGAGGACCACAGACTTGCGGAGCTGCAGGAACTGGGGGGAGCGGAGGTGAGGAGGGCTGCAGCCAGCCCACGCTGCCCGCTCTGCTCGGCTCCTCTCGGCCCGGTGCTTACCAGCTGATGGTCGTTCACCACCGCCAGCTCGATGTACTTGGTCTCGCTGTGAACCGTGTGCTGGGCTCGTCGCACCTGCCAGTAGGAGCCAGGAGCTGAGCCACTCCCCACACCCCGGGGGGATGCATGGGGCAGGACTGGCCCCGCGGAGCCTCTCGCTTTGAGGGAGAGTGCAGTGAATGAGATTTTTGAGCCCTGTTTTGTGGCTCGAGGTACATTTGGGAAGCACTGGCATCATCCTACTGACAGCTGGCAGGATGGACAGAGCCTGGCTGGGGCTGAGCAGCCCCATCCCCTGCCCGGTGTCCTCCATCCCATGCCCACAGCCCTGCCACCCCCACTTGCCTGCCGCCGCCGCCGCAGCTTGGGCAAACTGCCCGAGACGTAGTGGTCCAGTGCAGCAAAGAGGCAGCCTGGAGGGAAGGGAGACAGCTGGCGGTGTGCGGGATGAGGGCACTGCCCTGCGTGCTCGGGAACAGCAGGGGGCACAGGCGCAGTGGCACGGATGCCAGCCCTCAGGAGCGTGGCGCTCACCTGGCTGGGCGCAGCTCGGAGTGCGCTGGATGACGTGTGGCCGAAGGTCCTGCGGTGGGGAGAGAAGCGTCACCAACACCCAACAGCCCCCGTTCTCCAGCTCCCCGTGTCCCCAAGGCCATGTCCCACAACACCCCTGAGCCACAGCCAGACCCTGCGATGGGGAAACTGAGGCAGGGGTGAGCTCACCTGCTCGTGCTCAGCACCCGCCTGGGGTTCAATCAGGTACGTGTCCCTGCCATCCGAGAAGACACCGCTGCAAAGGAAGCCCAGAGGTGTAAGAGGGTGCTGGTGGGGTGTAGCAACCCCTTGAAACATCCGTTTTGACCCAAAATGTGGACGTGGGGTACTCACTGCAGGCCCTGGCAGCTGGAGAGCGCGGCGAAGGAACGGGGCCGGCCGCGGACCCGGCCCTGGTAGTAGCAGTGCTCCCCAGCACCCTGTGAGAGCCAGGAGAGGCCACTGAACCCGTGGGGCCAGCGCTGCCCCTGTGGCACGGGGAGCTCCACGTGCCAGGCAGGGCCAGCACCAGCCACCCGAGGAGCTATTTCTGGAAATCCCATTTGTCTTTTTCACACCGCCTCTGCTGGAGCCGTGCTGCTCCCTGCAGCCACCGGCCCCGCTCGGACCCCCCCATGGCAGCGATGGCATCGCCGGGCCCCATCCTGCCCATCGCAGGTGGCTACACCCATTGCTGCTGTCCCCTGGGGTTCGCTGCCTTCCTGGCCCAGCACCCGAACAGGCACCAGCACGGTCCCAGAGCAAGGCTGTGAGCACAGCAATGTGCTGAACCGTGCCAGGGGCAAGCGGGGAGCCCATTGCAGCAGTGCCCATGGTATGTGTGTCCCTGTGTCATCTGCTGAGGCAGTGCCCAGACACCTGGTGCTGGGCACAGAGGCTCCACGAGGAGCCACCCACGGCCATCATCCATGAACCGAGGGCTGCAGCGGGCAGGAGATCGGTGCTCACAGCCCGGCATGGAACTGTGGGCCCTGTGGTGCTGCTTGGCACAGCGTGGCGTGGTGCTTACTGTGCTGTGGCTGCTGTTCTTGCCCGTGCCGACGTGCCGCTCCACGTAGTGTGAGGCGAGGAGGTGGCTGCAGGGAAGAGCAGAGGGGTGAGAGGCCGTAGGGCAGCGAGCAGGAGGATGACGGAGATGGCTGTGCCCCTGCCCCATGCGCCCCCATCCTCTGGCATGCACCCACGTGCTGCCCCGTGCACCCAGCGTCGCCTTGGTGCAGAAACCCCATGGTCCAGGAAACCCAAGGCCTGCGGCCCCCCCACTATGGCACTGGCTCCTCTTACACCCCCCCTGCCTCCGGAGTGCAGCTCTGCCCACAGCCAAGCAGACTCAGGGCTTCGTTACTGGAGCTGGGACAGCTCCAAGCGACTCCATCAAATATTAAGGACGCCTGTGCCAGCACGCCGAGCGGCACATGCTGTGCCAGGCTCCAAGTGGCCACAGTGGGGACATCTACTGCCCCCTTTCCCCAAGTGCCAGTGGGCACCAAGATGCCACCGCTTCTGCACCCCATCCCTCTTGTGGGGGCAGGGGCAGCCCCGCAGCGGTCCATTCCCACCCCCCAGGACACTTACTGGTTGAGCTCGAGGTCGAGGGTGAAGGCTGAGCCGAAGGCACGCACCACGAAGCTCACCTGTGCCAGGTGCACCCCCTGCAAGAGAGTAGCAGCAGTGAGGCATGGACGGCTCCGTGCGCCCAGTGCCGGGAGAAATCCCATTGGAATCGTGAAAAATCACAGCCAGGTCTGAGCAGAGCAGAGTGTTTGCATGGTAGTGTGGGAATGAGGAGCAGCTGATGTGCCTGCTGCCACCTCAAGCCAGGATCTGGCCTTAAACCTGTCACGGATCTGGTGTCACACCAAGGAGCGCAGCAGAATTTTTGGCTCCTCGGTCCCAGAGCAGCTGGGCTGGCACGGGAATGCCTCCGGCTGACATTGCCATCATGTGTTGCACGTTGCAAACCCCGCCACGAGATCACCAGCAGCCCCTGAACCCCCCAGGCCAGGCAAGGACCGCACGCCGCGATGCAGCACGGCATCACTCCAACAGCCCCGCTCACAGTGCCCCAAAAGCCTGTGCCCACGGGTGCCCGGCACCGAGCCCTGCCCTGACGAAGGGTGCAGGCACCAAAAGCAGCCGAGGCTCCCACCTGGAGCTGATGAAGGCTTTTCTGATTTTTACCTAAAGAAAAAATAATAATCACTAGACCTCAATCATGTGATCTCTGAAGGTGTTCTTTCAATTAAAAAAAAAGAAAAAAAAAAAGGAAAGGAAGTCATTGTTTCACCCCAAACTTCACTAGCTGTGACCTAAGCTGCCTGTGGTCTCAGTGCCGGGAGCATCCCAGAGCAGCAGCGCTGGGGACCGGCATGTCACCGAGCAGCATTTCGGTGGAAGCCACTGCTGCTCCCGCAGCCCGGCCGGACATCGCCAAACACACTCCGGGATGCCAAGGTGCCAAACTCCTCCGAGCCGGTAACCGGACACCGGTGGCCGGGGGGGAGCCACCTTCGCCCTGCCCGGGGGGCTGCCAGAGCTCAGCCCCCAGCCCTGGCAGGGCTGCAGCAGCCCAGGCTCAGCGTGCGGAGCTGGCGCTTCACCCGCCCTGCAGCGCCCGCCGCTCGTGACCTAATTCCTGCGAGCGGCAGTGTGCCGGAGGCGGGAGCCGCGTTCTGCAGCGCCCGGCTGAGACCTGGCAAACTCCTCGCGTGGGTGAGGGGCTGCCCGGTGGCTCCTCACCTCCAGCCCACACCGTGCCCCAAAGCACCCTCGCCTCCGACACGCTGTTGTCACTCGCTGTCCCCGTGTGTCCCACAGGAGCCAACGCTCGCCCCGGCTGCCACGGCTCCGAGCCACCCACCAGCCCCTGGGGGAAGCCACAGCAAGGAGAAGCCAAATCATCAGGACACGCTTCTCCCGTGTCTTTTTGGGGTGAAAGCCCCTGTTATCTGCTTTGCTGAACCAAAAAGCTGTGACTGCAGCATGGGTCAGGGGCACAGTGCCAAAACCAGCAGGGACAGCTGCTCCTTGGCCACCGATGGGCGTCCCTGCACCGCCAGGCGCATGGGCAGCAGCATCGGCACCGTGTCCTGCCCAGGGTGCGGGAGAGAAGCAGCCAGGGGTTAAGCTGGAAGCCAAAATCGAAGTGCTGGATGATGGTCCCGGCACCTCCAGCTCCGAGGAGGGAAGGTGATGCCCCCTTTGGGGCTGGCAGACCTGGTGCGGGGCCCCCCTGTTGTTTCCCATCCCTTCCCCACCGAGGGGGTCTCTGGGCTGCAGGGGCCATGCCCAGGGTGCCCCATCCTCAGGCTGCTGGCAGAGCCCTGCCAGGTGCTGCACCAAGGGCACCCGGAGCAGGAGCCACCCACCAGGTGCCAGCCATCCACGGGCACAGCTCAGCACAGGGTGACAGGGACATGGGACGGCCCCACTGGCCCCTTTGCCACCACCGAGCAGCCACGCAGCGTCCCCAGAGCTGATCCTGGGAGGGGACGTCCCGGCCGTGGATGACATTGAACCGAGACCGTGTCCTTCAGTGGGCCGAGCAGTGCAGCTGGGAGCAGCGTGCGGGGGCTCTGCTGGGACCCACGGCAGCACCCCCGACCCTGTCCCCTGGGGCCTGCGGCCACGCCGCCTGCCCCACAGCAGCGCTTCCTCATGCCTCTGCTTAATGCCTCCCAAAAAACCACCAGCACCGGCAGTGCTGCAGCCATCCCCTGGTGATTCTTCCCCCCCCCCCCTCCGTGACATCCTCACCGTTAGGAGGTTTTACTTAATGCCAAGCTTAAATCACCTTCGCTGCAATTTAAGCCCATTATTTCTCCTTTTATCCAGCAAGGATGTGGGGAATCGATTATTGCTGGTCTCTGCGGCTGCCGCCTCTTTGAAAGCTTCCCCCCGTGCCATGGGCTCTCACCGGCTCCCCGAAATGCAGCCACCCCCTGGCTCCAGGCAAAGCGGCCGCACCAGCGCGTGACCGCCTGCCTGGTTTGGGGCTGGCAGGATGAGGGGCGATGGCCGGCATGGCTGTGCCGCGGGGCCACGGCTCCAATTTGGGGGCCACAGCTCCTGTTTGGGGCCACGGCTCTAGCTTCGAGCGCCGAGCCCATCCATTATGCATGAGCCCTGCCAGCGTGCTGCCCTTCAATCTCTCCTAACGCCCGCACGCGCACCTCCGGTACCGAGGTTTAATGGAAGCCATCAGGGCCTCACCGGCCGGGGGGGAAAGGCAGCGGTGGCACAGCCATCGGGCCGCTCGTGGCTGTGCCCGACCGTGAGGGCAGCAGGAGCCACCGCGGGCCCCGGTACGGGGGGAGCGACCCTCGCACCCGGGGGGGCCCCCAGCCCCAGCCTGAAAGAGAGCGGAGGGGGGATGCGGTTCACTTACAGGGCCTCCTCCTCCTCCTCTAGGCTCATTCCTGACCCTGGTGTCCAGCTGATGCTTCTGGACTTCTCCTCCAGAGCTCTGCCCCACTAACCTGCTGGGGTGGGTGATTTCGGAAACAACCGGCCCGTCCTGCCATCCGGCCCGCGGGAGCCTCCGCTGCGGAGCGCCGGCGTGCACGGCGGGACCTGCGGGCAAGGAGAGGGTCGGTGGGGGGGGGACACGGGTGGGCTGCCCTGGGGACACGTCCTGGGATGGGGGGGGGGACCCGAGGCTGGGCTGTGTCCCGGCAGGGACGTGACCCCAAGGGACAGGGGGCTGGTGTGGGGCCGTGTCCCGGGGTGGGGGACCCGAGCATGGCGCTGTGCCCGGGAGGGGACACCCAGGGGACACGGGGGTGGGAGAGCGACGGGTCCCGGAGGGGACAGGGAGGGGGACACCGGGAACGGCTCCGCAGCCGGAGCAACGCGGCCGGGGGCCACCTCCCGGGGGGGGTCACCGGGGTGGGGGGGGGGAGGACACGAACGGGGCCCGTCCCGGGGCACCCCCCCCGCGATCAACCGGGCCCGGGGGAGGGTCGGGGTCCGCCGGGGGCAGCGGGGGCCGGGGGCGGCGGGGCCGGGGCCCCTCCCGTGCGGCTGCGGGGCGGCGCTGCGGAGAAATGTGTCGATGCAGCAAAAAAGCCCGCAGCGGCGGCGGGGCCGGGAGCGGGACCGGGAGCAGGACCGGGAGCGGGGCCGGCACCTACCTGCCCGCGGCGTGAGCGAGAGGAGCGCGGCCAGCAGCCAGCTCCGCAGCGGGCTCATGGCTCCCTCATAATCCGCCCGCGGCGCTCCGGGCTCTGCCGCGCCGGGCGGCCCCGCGGCACCGGGCTCCCTCCGGCCCCTCCTCCGCCCGGGCCGGGCATGGGCGGCGGCGGCGGGCGGCGGGGCCGAGCGGGGCCGAGCGGGGCCGAGGGAGCGGCCGCGGCCCCGTGCGCGCCGCCCCCGCCACCTGCACGCGCACTGCACCGGGCCCCGCCGCTCCCGCCCCCGCCGGCACCGGCGCCGGCACCGGCACCGGCAGGGCCCGCCCCGGGCCCGCCCCGCCGCGCCCCGCCCCCGCCCCCCGCCTGCCGCAGCGCCGCGGCCCCCCCCCGGCATTGCAGAGCGGGACCGGGCGGCACCGGAGCCCCCCCCCCCCGGTAGCGAAGGGGAGCCGGGACCGCAGCCACGGCAGCCCTCACGGCCCCGCTCGAAGCCCCCAGTCGGTACCGGAGACCCCAGCTGGTATCAGCCCCCCCGCAGCCGGTACCAGGCGCCCCCCAGCCGGTACCAGAGCCCCCCCGGTATCAAATCAGAGCCGGTACCGGAGCCCCGCCAGCCCTTACACCCCCCCAAAGCCGGTACCAAAGCCCCCAGTCGCCCCCAGTATCGCCCCCCCCCAGCCTGTACCAGGCCCCCACCTCCAGCCGGTACAGGAGTCCCCAGCCGCTACCACAGCCCCCACCAGTATCAAAACTAAGCTGGTACCAGAGCCCTGCCACCCCTTACACCCCCCCAAACCAGTACTGAAGCCCCCAGTGGGTCCCAGCCCCCCATCGGTACCAGAGCTCCCGCCCGTATCAAGTCCGAGCTCTGAGCCAGGGGGCCCGGGTCAGGATGGAGGTGCCTGGGGAACTGGGGCAACCCCGGGGTGCTGCCGGGGGGTGCTGACACCCAGGGGAGCTGTGGGGTCCCCACTCACACCCCAGCTGGCCCCGAGCCCCCCGCACCAGCTGGGGACACACAGGGAAGGTAACAGCACACCTGGTGTGCTCCCGTGCTGCCCCCGTTCTGGGGGTGCTGCAAGGCCCCGTTTCCAACCTGAACAAAAAGACCCATTGTTTTTTTGGGAAGAACGATGAATTCCTTTTCATTCCGCAGCAGGACACAGCCGTGGGATCAAGGGTGCAGAAGAGCAGGGGAAGGTGACACAGCCTGGGGGGGGGAGAAGCAGATCCACAGGAGGGACATGGCACAGACACCGGCGGTGTGGGGGTCCCGGGGGGAGCAGGAGGGGTGTGGAGCTGCACAAGTGGGTCAGCGCAAAGCTTCCCGGGGAGCAGCCGCCGCCTCCTCTCTCTGGAGCATAGCAGAAAACAGCTCGGCTGCGGCTGGACCGAGGCAGAGGCTCATTTATAATAGAGCTGATGCCTCCCCCCCCCCTCGTCTGGCTGGCGGGGAAGGCCCTGGGGACCCCCACGGCAGCGCCAAGACCAAGGAAACGTTTCCCCGCACGTGCTGGGGCTCAGCACATCCAGGGGGCTGGGGGAGGTGGAAGTTTGTCGAGGATTTTGAGCAGGGACTCACGGTCAACAACCGTGCAAAAAGGGGACAGGAGCATTTAGCAGGGGAAGTGAAGGCAGGGACATGCCAAGGGGCACGGAGCAGGGATGGGAGAGGTGAATTGCCCCGGCCCTCCCCATTTCCTCTCCCTGATGCATGGGGAAGGGTTGCCCACGAGGCTGGGAGCAGGCTCTGGGGACTTGCCATCACCTCCGATACCACCAAACCCAGAGCGCGCTGCCACATCCCACAAAGCCTTCCCCGTGCCCAAAGAGCAGGGTGACAGCAGGAGGAAGGGCCGTGTGTGCAGTGACAAGGGGGGACAAGAGCTTCACAGGAGGGGTCTGGGCCAGCTGATGCCAACCGAGCACCTGCTGGAAGGCTTAGGCAGTCCTCAAGGGTGCACTGAGCAGCTCAGCTGCCCCCAAGAAGTGCCAGAATTTGGCTGTTGCACCACGGAAGGGTTTAGCTTCAGAAGTCCCCAGTGCAGCCTCCTGCCCAAAGCAGGGCTGTTGTCTACCTCCAGGCAATGCTCAGGTGGGGGGAATTTCCAAGGGCAGACAGCCCCCCCAGTGCCCCAGGACTGTCCCACCCTCCTGGGCAGGGAGCTTTTCCTTTTCATAACCTGCACCCACGCTCAGAAGGCGCCCCGGGGCCACCTGGCACCGCTGAAAGAAGAGATTGACTCCATCACACCCGTAATTGCCCTTTCCCAAGGCACAGGCAGCTTTTTGACACCTCTCAGTAAGAGCAGCCCACCCCAGGTCCGCTCCCTGGCCATCTCAGCAGCCTCCACCACCAGCTCTTCAATTTCTCCACATCCCTCACCACCTGGGGCCATCCCACATGTGGCTGTCCCCACGCTAAGCAGAGGTACAATGCCTTCCCTCCACCTGCTGACCACGTTCCTAAGGCAAGCCCCAGCCTGGGGGTTGTTCTGGGACTGCTGGCTCCTGCTCAACCCAGTGCCCCCTGCAGCTCCTTCTCAGCAAGGCTCCTGCTCAAAGCCAGGCACCCAGCCCAAAGCCAGGGAAGATTCACACTCCTTGGCGATAACTGTGAGAAACGAGGCAGACAAATTTTACCCAACATACAGCAGAAGAGTATCTCTTTCACTTTATTTAAAAGTTTAAAAGTTCACTTAAAAAGTCAGCTTATTACCAGCTACAAACATCCGTAAACACTCAAGACATCCAACGCAGCCCCAAACCACAAGAACACAGATCTCACTGCCACAGCCCTCCTCCTCCCCATCTCTGCAACCCCAAAGACAGCGTGGAAGGGGGAACAGGCCATGCCCTGAATCTCGTTGGGCAAAGAGCCTATTCCTGCTGAAGACGTACCACCAGAGACAGACCACCTTGTCAGCAGCCTGGTGAGGAGTTAAAGAAGGAAGCTACCAGCTACAAGTAAGAGGAGGGAAGATCCCAGCCCCTGAGGACAGTGAAATCACTGCAGCACCCAGCAGATCCCAACAGTTTCAGATCTGAATGCCTGCACGAGGAGGACACGTGTCACCCTACCCTACCTGAAGCTGCCTGTGGTGCTTCCTCACACATCCAGTGAAATGCAGCCACGAGGAGCCGGGCTGTGACTTGCAGCCGCTGGTGTCTTTCCTCCAGGGAATCAGGCAAGAAGATGTCAGAGCCTAGGGAAGGCAGCGCTGGACAGAGACGCGTTGCACCGGAGAGGTGTTGGCACATCTCAATCCCTTGGGCTCAGCCCAGGCTGTCTGGAGGAGGCTGTGCAGGCACCATCCTCACTCCAGCTCCCAGCTGGCCCTAACAGCGAGGGTGCCTTGTTAAATCCCTTTCCAGCCACTCTGCAGCTCCCATTAAGGGACCGGAGAACTGCCAGGAGGTGGTTTTAACTTGTCCAGCTGCCAAAAAAGGTCTCAAATATAGGGAGGGGGGCTTCTTTGGTCTCTGTGCAGTAGTTCCGGCAGCTCTTGTCACCTTTGGCTGCCCACTCAAAATCCGAATTCTGCTTCAGGACTGAGCAGAGCTGAGACTCGTATCCACTGTCCCTCACATTGATGTGCGTCCTTTGGAGCAAATCCCTGTCCACAGCCCGAGTCCTGCTGTCTTGGATGCCCGTTAGTGTGGAGAGCAGCTGGACATCCCAGTCTGACTCTGAAGAACTGTTCCTGAAGTTATCATCAGCCTGTGTGTTACATGGAAGACGGTGAAGGAGCCCAGGGCACGGAGTCTGTTCCTTGCTGTGGCTGGGGAGGCTGGGTAGTTCAGGGGCTATTTTTTCTCCTGTTTTGACACAGAGGGAGCAGCAACATCTGGCTTCAGCCACAGGCAGTTTTGCAGAGGGCGACTGGCCAGCAGGACAGCTGCTCTTGCTCATTGTGGACTCCAGAGCAGGACTGAGCACATTCCTGGGTGTATTTCCATTCTCCCCTCCAAGCTTCCCATGGGAACTCATGTTCCCTCTGCTCCAGCCATGCTTGCTGACAGTGCTCACTACAGCAGTCTCTGTGGGATCAAACCCCACAGGCAGGGCTTTAAGGGAACCTGGCTGTGATGCAGGGTCCACAGGGTTCCCATGAAGGCACAGATCCAAAACAGGAGGGTGATGAGGCCTGGTGGAGAGCTTTGTGCTTAGGGGCCAGCTGCCAGCCTCCACACCAGGCAAGCCTGGCTCAGGCGTCTGTCCTGCACCCTGCACACCCATCCCACCACCCACTGGGCTTGCCTGCTCACACAGCGAGCAGCCACCACCCAGCTCCAGCCTGGGCTTCTTTCCCACCTGGGTGCTCTGACTGGGGGAGAGCTGGCGTTTCCTGGAGACAGGCAGTGCTTGTGGAAGATGGCTGACAGACCCGAGCACCTGCTGGTTATCGGGTTCAGAGGAAGAAGCGATTGCCCCTCCGACATGACTGGCTGCTACACAAGTGCCCCAGGCAAACTCAGGAGCCAAGTCTGAGTCCGTATCCCCCACCACAGCAAACTCCTCCGTGGTAGCACGTGCAGCACAGACCCCTGCAGTGAGTCCTGCTCTGACAGACAGCCCCAAGGAGCAGTTCTCAGACAATCCCCCCTCTTCTCTGGGGTTACTGACCCTGTCCCTGGGCAGGCCAGAGGAGCATTCCTTGATCTTCAGGCCAGGATCAGGCTCTGCATCAAACAGATCCACAGCACCCTGCTCAGGCTGCTGGCTTTCCTTTCCCAGCTCTGCTGTCAGCTTCTCAATTCCTCCAGTAACTTGTGCTCGAGGCATTAAGTGTTCATCTGTCAGGCAGCACGGCGGCACCCTGAAAAGAACCATCCGTTAATGCTCATTCTCCCTAGGCCTGGCGACACCCTCCCCCCAGCAAGATGAAGCATTTTCTGCAGAGGCAGTAAGAAATTTTAGACAGGTAAGGCTCAGCAAACAGCGATACTGTTGCTGGCAGAGGAGACAAGCAGGCTGAGGTCCTTTGTGCTGCCCAACAGCCCATAGTCTGGGCACAGGAGTATAACAGAGCAGCAGGCTTGTGCCAGACATGGGACAGAGGAGACAGGTCCATTCTTTCCAGTTTAAGAGGCACTAGAAGCCCACAGGGAGTTCCACGAAGCAAAGAACCCACAGGAACTGAGAAAGACCATTTCCCACAGCTTGCCTAAGCCTTGTTGGCCCAGCCAGCAGCACCATGTTGGCTGTGCAGACAATCCCAGCCCTCAGCTCCATGCCGGCAGATTCCCTGGCACAGGGCACAAACTAGGATCTAGTACCACAGTAGCACAGTGATTCAGGCCTGTTCCCGTGAGCACACCACGCAGCATGGTGCTGCTGTTCTGCTCCAGGAGTTACCACATACACAGAGACTTACTTGGCTGGCTGCTCCACAAAGTCATTGGTGAGCTGCGAAATGACACGATCCACAGGGGCGTACCGCGAGTCGTCCAGGGCGAACCGCTTGTGCTGGGGGCTCTGGAGATGCTGGAAAGTGGCAAAAGCCCTTTTAGCAACACTCATCCTTTCACAGAATTTGTAGTAACAGCCACTTCCCACAGCCTAGAGGGCACACAGTCTTTTCACCAGATAGAGCCATTGTTCGGAAGCAGATTTGGGAAACGTAGGCAACGCTGTTACCCCCAGTTGCTTACAGCGAGTATGCTGTTCCCATAGACACCTGATGATGAGGAGGCTGTGTCTATATCTAACAGCAGCCTACAGCTTTCCCCAGCAGCTACTAAAAAGGCAGATTCCAAGTATGTACTGTCTATCACTAGAGGCTGTGCTCTGAAAGCCACATTGTTCAGCATCTTGCAGGAGATAAAAACCTCTTCTCACCTTTTTACTCAGCCTATCCCTCCTAGCTGCTGCAGAATGGGGTTCTCATCTTACACTTCAGGTAACAGGATGACCCCTGAGACTCTCCTAGCCCCAGAAATGAGCATGTCATGCTCTGATCTTCATAACTAGTTTACCCAGACCAAGAAATCTGGGTAGATATTCCATGGCTTTCACCTACAATGCAGATCCCAGATCCTACTACATCCACAAAGGCTGTACAAACCTGCCTGCCTTCCAAAATGGGTTTGTATTGATAACAGGGACATTGTGATCATCTAAGCCACTGAGTGGTCTCTGTAACTTTTGCAAGGAGGCAGGTCCCAGGGGAGCCTTTACCTTTTGCAGCTCTTCAAATGTCTCTCGGCAGCACTCACAAAACCCCCTCTTCTTCTTTGGCACAGTGACAGGCGTGGACTGGGGGCTCTTCTCCCCGTTGCTGTGCATCGGACAGCCCTCCACACCCCTACAAGGTAACAGCAAACATCTTCCCTGCCCTCATGTCACAGCAGCAGCAGGCACCCAGCTGCCTGCACAAGGCCAGGGACACAGTGCTGCCTTTGAGCTACAGCTGTTTAACCCAGAGCAGTGCTCCTTTCACCCACGCTCACAAGTGCTTCTCCATGCCCTGGTAGCCAGCAGGGCAGCAGGATTAAAAACTTGCACAGAAGTAGCTACAACCTACCTGGCTCTGCAAGAATTTGAGAGGTTTTTCAGAGGCTCGAATGGGCTGGAACTTTTGGGTGCCAGGAAGTTCAGGTCAGGAAAGCTTTTAAACTGGTGGTGGAAGGGCCGGAATTGCCTGAAAGAAGCACATCAGGACATCTGGCAGTGATTGTGACGACAAGGTTAGAGAGCTGTCCTTCCCTCAGAGGGGCTCAAGGCACTATCTCTGTTATGACAGGATAATGCCCATTGCTGTCCTTATGTGTGGCTGTTCCAGAGACTTCCCACTTCTCATTGGAGCAAGGAAATACTAAACTGGATCCCCAGTAAGCGGCACTGAGGGGGGGATGTTTTAGCCAGCAGCAGCTAGTGCAGTATTTTCAGCTACACTGCAGCATTGGAAGGCTTCAATTCCCAGACCACATTTCTCTTCCTCATACTTTATTGCAAGCAGCATGTAAAACCTAGTATTTGACCCTGTAGCTGCCTTAAATGTTGTCTTCAGAATAATTAGTTGGTACTGTGGATACCGTTAGAGTTACAGAGTTGTTAGAAACACCACAGAGATCAAATCCCCTTGTGCTTGATGCTGTAATCAAATTACAGGCCTTGACCTTTATGTGCCTCGATCTCCTTCCCCATTTCAGAGGGCTCAAACAGATTAAGTGACCTGCAAGGATCACATATGGAATCTGAGCAAGGAAGTAAACTCTGTTGTCAAGTCTCATTTAGCAACTTTTTTCACCCCGACACACAAGCCACATAGATTATTTCTCTAAACTCCCTTTGCCTCCTCTAGGAGAGTGTCACCTTTCTGGTGAGTAACAGGGTCTTCAAAGAAGCCTTGGGGACAGAAAATTCAATGCCACACAACAAGGAAAAGCAGGAAAAGATTCCCTCCCTGGGAGCCCTGAAGTTTTAATATAGTTTGGCTGTGATACTTAGAATGGTCTGATTTACCTGCTCTGGTCTTCAACCTTCAGAAAAGGGGGCTTCAGTTTTCCTGCTAGAAAGACAGCTGGTTAGAAGTTACCCTGGCCAAATTCCCTACTTATTCATTCATTCCTCAACAGAAATGGGCTACAGAGCCAAGCTTATCAGTACTTCTTACACCCATGTGTGCCAAGTGCTGGCTAAGTGCAGCTAAGACAGGATCCAGCAAACAGCTCTTTGGGAAATGTGCAACAGCCCCCACCTCCAGAGCAATCGCTAGGGTGAACAAACCCTACAGGCAGTCCACTAGTGGAGTCTTTCCTCCTTTGAAAGAACATCCAGCCCCAGAGGTTCGCATCTCAAACATCTCATCAGCCTCAGCAGTCAGTGGCCTAACCCCAAACCTCCAGTTTGGACTTGAATCTTAAGAACTGTCAGGCATCCCCAGTGCAACATGCCACAAAGCATGAGAAACAAGTCTGGAAGAAACAAAGCGCAGCTACAGTCACATAAGCACAGTGCTCTGCCTCAGCCTTTCCAGTGCTGGTTTGTCCCCTGACTTTTATACAGCAGCCCAGAGTTCAGAATGGCTCAGGCCAGGACAGCTGAGTCTAATAGCTAAGAGCTGCTGGAGACACACCAACGTGATGCAGAGCCAAGCCTGCCACGAGAACTCTGCTAGAGAGCAGTGCCTGGCCTTAGCTTGGTCCCTTAGGAGGTCAAACAGCAGCTATGTTTTGTACAGAGGCATATACTAAGGAAGCAGAAAAAAGCCTCAGCAGTGCATTCAGAGAAAAGGTTTTCAGAGGCAGGCAAATGACCAAGACAGGAAAAACTACCTTGCCCCTCTTGCCTTGCAGGTCTGTTCAACTCACAAGTGATAACGCTATGCTTAGCACACATATCTGAGTACAGACCTGGTTAAGAAACAGAAGAACACCAGGGTATTCCTGCTGAGCATCTGCCTGAACCTGAAACCAACCCTCTCCTCTCTCTCTCCTTGCCTCTGAAGGGCGAGGTGTTTTGTTTTCTTGTGATCCTGGAGCTCAGTGCTATTTTCTCTGAAGCAATTTTAACCTCATTCTCCAGAAAGGCAGAGTCCACCTGTTAGTTTCTCGAGTCTCATCCGGAGCTTGTACCAAATGTGCTGTTATGTCGCTAAAGGAGCTATTTAAGTACAGGATCAATGTTTCCACATAAATGCTGCCAAATGCTTAGCACTTCTGAGAGCAAGGCCACATTTAGGGGCCTAGATAAAACCAAGGCTGGTGGGCAGGCCCTAAGCTCTTGTGGCAGAGTGCTGAATGGTGACAAACCGTTCAGCTGTCACCACAAGTCCCCAAGCAGAGTTCAGAGTGTGCCACAATTACAAGCTCTGAGCTTGCAGCAGACAATCTGGCTTACTCAACAGTTTTTCATGCTATTTTTCACATCTTTCCCCCAAAACTGGAAAATAGTCTAAGTGGCCCACAAAGAATCCAGGTTGTAGTCTGCTTTAAGATGTTCTCCAATGAGAAAAATCTAAAAGTCACAAATTGGCTTATGTCACTGGTGCCAATCCCAGTGGCACAAGTGGCTCTTGTCTAATTGCAGATGAGAACCTGGGCTTCCCCCCTCCTTTGGGAGCGTTAGCCCTAGATTGTGTCTCAACAGCGGATTTCAGCCTAACAGCAGTGAGTGGGTTGTGAGGAACATGCTCTCCTCCGTAGGATGCATTATTCTTCAAAACTTTCTTTGAGCCAGCGGATTCAACACACAGTGCCAGCAGCACAGTTCTAAGTGCCTTGGGATTCTGGGACTTGAGCTGCAAACTGTTCATGGGATTTTAAAAACACTGCCTGATATCAAAGGCATAACATTCTCATCTGCATTAGGAGGCTGTAGCTAGACTCAGACAAGGAGTTACAAAAAATGTTCAAGAGAAACTGCCTTAAACAGTTGTGGTATTTTGCTTTGCTGAAGTTTCAGATAGATGTTCAATTTCTAAATGAGGCTTCTTCAAGCAGCTCCACATTTGAATGTGAAGGGGAACACAACTTCCAGACTTACCTTTGTGAATTTTTGATCCAGATGCAAGGCATTTCGCCTAAAGGAAAAAGAGATGCATTTAATATGGGAGCCAGTGCAGGCAGAACCGTAATTACTGATCCTGATGCAACAAACTGAGATTACAGCAGTCTCACCCACCACTTCACAGCTCTTGCATTACAGACTATATCACCTCCCCCTGATTATTTTGTCTCCCAAATTACCTAAAGGTACTTTAAATATGAGGCTGCCACTCTCTAATCTTCTGCCTTACCTTCTCACTGACCTCTCCAATACATTAAAAGATAGTTCAGAAAGCCAGTACACTAGCCACATACAATTTTAATTTTTTTAAACCCTTAGTCCCCTACAAGTCAAAATCAGCACTAGCTGTGCTACAGATGAGGTTGATAACTACAATCTGTCTTGTTCTCTGCTTTTATCCCCACTTTAAGAATTCTTTGACTGTTGCCATCCCCATCAATGAACAAAAGCACCAATGCTGAATGAAAACCTAGCTCACCCTGCTTACTAACCCACTGGCATTAGATGAACTAGGAGGAGTGCTCAAGAGCTACCAAGGGATCCCAAGCACTTCCAACTGGGCTGGAGTTAGGTCAGTTACCTCTGTCTTCTGGCTCTGCTTCCTCGATCCTGAGATGGCACGCAGCAGCTGTTGAGCATACAACAACATTTCTGTAGAGGTGGGCTGTCAAAGAGCCATAGCTCAGCAAGAGAAGGTGAGCTGTTCCCCCTGGGCTGACTGCAGGGCAAGTACAACTGCCTGCATGCACTGAGAGCATGCAGTGCCTGAGCCTGCCATCACCTGGCACAGTATCACCACTACACAGGTAATTCACCCAGGAGCAAGATAAGAAAGAGTATTTTGAGGGAAGGCACCCGATGCTGCTCTTTAGCAGAGCTGGAGGCTGGCTTTGAGTCTCTGCAGAAATGAGACACTGTCAGGGATTGTTCAGCATACAGACCAGACCCCGGAATTTGAAAGCCATGACAGACTTGTAACACTGCTGCAGTTCAGCAGAGCTGGCTGCTCGGGAAGGGGTACTAGCAGCAGCAGCCTCCATCACACATCCAGACAAGCGCAGCCAAGGCTGTATGTCACTGTCATCGGACACTCAGGAACCTTTTACTCCAGACCTATTATTAGAATCAGTTTCACCATCTGTCTTTCCTATCACCCCCTCCCCATTCATCACCAAGGCAGGAAGCGCCTTCCAGCACAGGTCCTCAAACAGCAGCACTTCCTAATTAAAAACAACCAAGTCCTGCCATTATTGTGATCTGTACTTCCAGGTCAATTAGTAAAAGTGGTCTCCTTTGAAGAAATTCAGGCACCGCCTGAGCTATTAACATTTCCTAATATCACAGCCCCAGTATTTTACAACATACTCTGTGTTTGCTATTGTAAATGTGACACTAGCATGTTCTATGCATACAAAGTTAATCAAATTTTTGAAGTGCAAACCTAACCAGTGCAGCATAGCTCAAGAACCATATATTCCTCACAATTTCTTCCTTCCCCCACACCACACTCATTTCTGCCCATCCTCCTTCAAAACCACCGATTACCAGAAGCTAAATTCCAGCATACAGAGAAGGATACCATCCACGTGCAAGATCTGGACTCCCCACAATCGAGCATTGGCGAGGATACTGCTGCCACTGCAGGTGTCCTGTTCAAACAGAGAGGTTTGGCAAGGTACAGCTCAAAGCACACAGTACATGCAGCAATAGCTCTAGTTTATTGTTAATCTTGCTGTCTGATTAACAGACCAATACATAGGTATTATTAAAATGTGAGCTTCAGGGCACAGAAGAAAAGGCTCACACTCATGGCTTTACCTACCCCAAATCAAAACTAGCATCTAGTTCAGATTTTTATCCCTGCTATAGTTTGAGCTTCTTAAGTGGGCACTGAGATTCTTTTGGACACTGTGATAATGAAGACTCCAGAGGAGCCCTTTGCCCCAGCCATATGGCTTTAATTCTTTGTAGGCTAAGAATTCATCTGTTGGTCTTACGTTAAGAATTCTTCATCTATTGGTCTTACGTTAAGAATTCTTATGTGGAGCAACCAAATCACTGGGACAGGCCTTGAAAGCAGCTAACATGGAAGGATGACATGGCTCCATGAAGAACAGCGTCCAGGAACACTGCGTAATTTTCCATAGAGCCACAAGCAACAGCTTCATACCTTTACTAGCCCCAGAGTCTGCTCCTGTCAGCAGGGAGGGGCTCTGGAGAAGTGGCTGGCACTGGTTCTGCACAGCTCAGCAGTACTGTGAACATACCCAGCTACAGGAAAGCCTATCCACATGCTGCTCACCTGATTCTTCATGGCCTTCTGCAGCAGCTCCTTTCCCCTGCTGATCACAGCCTGCAGAGAAAGAAGCCAAGTACTGTGCTAAGGCCAGGCAGCACCAAGCTGAGGACAACACGGATACCCAGTAATAACGATTTCTAGTGATACCTGCTCTCTGCTGGGGAGAAGAATCTGGCCAAGACTTCATCTCAAAGACAGCAGGACTTAGCTTTTCCAGGGAATACAAACCGCAGACACCCTTTATATCCACAGTAAGCAGCAATTCAGCCAAGGCTTGGCTTTTATTGAACAGCAGAGAATGCTCCAGAGGGAGCCAAGAGGAAGCAGAGACTTAGTTCTGAAACTCCACGTGCCAACAGGCTGGCAGGGGTTAGAACAATCCTTACTAGTCCTTCCTGGGAAGCAAGTCTCGTTTGATAGCCTATGATTTCAGGAAATAGGTTAAGCTTATTTTAAGACAAGTGGATAGTGCTACAAGCAAGGGTGGGGAACAAACACTATGAGTGAACCCCCTGACACCAGCCTAGGCTTCTCCAAGAGATGCTATGCTGCAAGTGGTCCAGATCCAGCTGGCAGAGATGCCTATGGCCTGGATTCGGGTAGTAGGCTCTGCCAGCATCTCTGCTGCCCACGGACACAGCTTCCAGCAGGCCCCAGCACTCAAGGACACTGGAGCTTTGGCTACAAGCACTGCTGATCAGAAAGCCCAGCCCCAGCAGAGTGAATAGGACCTACAGAAAACCCTTTTTGCAAGCTGCCCTTGCAGCTCTCCTCCCACACAGCAATTGCTGTGCCCTACCCATGTCTGTCCACACACAGCCACAGCCTGCAATACTTCTGATGCAGATTTATCTCGCCTACATTTCTGTGCTTTCTAAATACACCTCTGTGTCTCGATGGATTACCTGTTCTGTTGGGAAGCTAACCAAGCCCTCTATTTCCTCTACCATTTGAGTAGATATCCTTTGCTTACTATTAAAGCTGTGACATGCACATTAGAGCAGACAATGATGCAAAGGCATCATTGAACATCGGTATAGATATGAATTCATACCATAAAGAACATTGGTATAAATATGAATGATTAGGCTGAGCAGAAAAAAAAACAACAAAACACACACAACACGGTTGCTCAGAGCAGAAACAACTACCTTGAACACCGGTCCCAGGTTTTACTCTATAGATCCCCTGGGACAAACTTTGGGGTAGCCTAAACCTTGGTAGCTCTTACTGTGTCTGGTGGCTTCTGCTGAAGTCTGGTATGATTCCCCTTGGAGGTAGAAGGCATCGGGCTCTTGGCTTTTGCATCCGCTGACGTTGTGTTGCTCCTTTTCTCAGTCCTAGTCCCAGCTTTGTCTCGTTTGGCCTCTTTGTTACTGGACACGACGTAGTTGACTTCTTTGCTTAGGAAGCTTTCGGTGACCTGCAGAAAAAGGGAGAACAGAGCAGCTCTAAAATTGTCCAGCATCTCTGAGTCAGAAGAATCCTGCTAAGCAAGAACTAGTGCCTTTAGCTTAACCTCTCTGCAGCTAAGGGGCTACTGAACGTACTCATCTTCACAAGTACATCTTCCTTCCATTGCTTGCTGCGGTCTCCCAGAGGGAGGAGAACCCATGATATGCAGACAGCGTGTCCTACAGATAAACTGCAAATAGTCACGAGAATCTTCAAACTGAGATTTACATGGCATGATGCTATCACCTACTCCTCTAGCAGCGGTTTCAGGAAAAAAAAGCAGTGGCAACTTTTCAAGGCAGAGAAAGCCAACAGGTGAGAAAACAGACCTGGACATCATACAACACTGGAAGCACTCCTCACAGTTCTGAGGAGAATAAAGCACATTTTGGCAACAGAAAGCAAACAGCTGGGACAAGTAGCTTAGTGCAGAACAGAGCGCCAGGGAACTGGAAAGCTGAAACACGCACACCTTTGTGCAGAAGATAGAAGACTAAGAGGTGGAAAACAACATGCTTCATTGGGGTACTAACTGTAGGCTTATCAGAAATGCAGCAGAAGGCAGAGTCACAGGGCACTAACACACAGGTATGGGGCACACAGGAAGACACACAACCGAACAAGGTGAAGTCATGGCTGCTGAACAAGCCAGTTCTGCTGCCCTACAGAGCCCCTGTGGACCAGGATCCCAGACCCACACATGTGAAGTGCCACAAGTGACATTACAGGCTGCCCTATAGCAGCGACTTACGCTGCAGGACATCAAGAAACCTGAAGGTATTAGAGACAAACTCAAAATATCCCAGTCCAAATAACGCTTCGATGTGTTATCACCCCTATATCAAGGTGAAATTTAAGGCCCAACATTCAAGTCAGAGTTAAGTGCTCTTAACCTGGTCCTCAGAGAACGCACAGGTTTTGGATACTCCCACTGAAGGGGCACCATGTACTTGAATTCAGCATCTCCACAGCAGCAGAGGAATGAGAACTCCACCATGGGTGGGCTGCACTTCAGAGAGCGAAGAGACATGTGACAATGCCTGATAAGAAGCCAGAGGGACAGCCAAAAGGCTAAAATTAGATCCAACTACTGTGGCAGCCACACAGAGCACTAACCACTGGGAGCAAGCATTTCGCAGGCTTGAAAACACACAGCTAAGTAAGGAGGAGGCTTTGAGGAGAGCCCTCAGAAGTTGATGGCACATGCAGGTGAGGGCAGAAGTTAAAACTTCTGGAAGAAACCAGCAAGTTAAGCATGAAAAGATGATTAAAAAAGAACGGAAAGTCACACACCAGCCTCCCCAAAACCTGATCCTGAGGCAAGAACTACGCAGAGATTTTACACCTGTGTGTAGCACTGAGGAACTCAGGAAGCTTTGGGGTGCATGTGAGAAGATCTGCCTCAAGGAGAGAGATGAGACAGCCTGGAGACAAGCAGCAACACCTCGGGACCACGGAACTGCTGGGAGGGGAGGGGAGGGGAGGGCAGCCCCGGGTCCCCCTGTCCCAGCCCCTGCCCAGGGCCCGGTCCCGGCGGCTTCTGGAGGTCTCCCCGGAGGAGCCCCCGCAGCCTCTCCCGTGCCAGCTCCGCCACCGCCAGGGCACAGAGGCGCTTCCCGGCGGTCAGAGGGCACCTCCCGGGCCCCGCTTCGTGCCCGGTGCCCCCGGGCCCGGCTCCGTCCTCCCCATGGGGATTTACGGGCACGGCCGGGCCCCCCCCAGCTCCCCCCTCACCCCGCACGGAGGCACCGGCAGCCCCCGGGGGGGGACCCCAGCGAGCACCGGCAGCGAGAAGGGGTGCAGCGGGGCAGGTCCCGGTGCCGGTCCCGGTGCCGCTCACCCCGCCCAGGTGCCTGATGGCCGCCGCCAGGTCCCGCGCCGCCCGCCCGCTCGGCACGTCCAGGTAGAAGGACTTCCCACGGAGCGGCCGCCCGGTGGTGGTGGCGGTGACGGGGCCCGCCATGGCTGGGAGGCTCCGCTCGGTCCCGAGCCCCCCAGCACAGCCCCGCTCTCCCCCGCCGCCGCCGTTTAAATTTCCGCTCGCCCCGCCCCTAACGGCGCCGCGGAGGGCCGCGGGCTGCCCGGGGAGCCGGGAGCGGCGGCGACAGCGGCGGCGGCGGGGCTCGGTGCTGGAGAAGGGGGCGCGGGCCGGGGTCCGGCGCTGCAAGGCTCAGCCCAGCCCGGTGCCGGTGCCGATGCCGGTGCCGGTCCCGGTGCAGCCCCGCGTGGCCCCTCGCGCACGCGCACCGGTGGCGGCGGCGCTGCAAAATGGCGGCGCCCAGCGCGGCGGCGGCGACAGCGACAGCGGCAGGGATCGGGGGTGGCGGCGGCGGCTTCGAGCCGTGGCTGGCGGCGCGGCTGGAGGCGCTGGGGCTCGACCGCGCCGTGTACGGAGCCTACATCGCGGGGCTGCTCCGCGAGGAGGAGGGGGACGAGGAGCGGCTGGAGGCGCTGCGCGGGGTGCTGGCCGCCTGCCTGGTGAGGGCCGGGGACCGAGGGGGGGCACCGGGACCGGGTCCCCCCGCACCGGGTCCCACCCCCAACCCCGGGTTGTGGAGCCCGGGCCGGGCTCCGTTGGGGGTGGGCGGCCGGGGCGGGCCGGGCGCGGCTGTGGGGTCGCGGTGTGAGGCCGGGGGCGAAATGTGAGGGTTGGGAGGGTCCCGGGGGGGTCCCGGGCTTGTGGCGGTTTTCAGCCCCCTCACGAGGGGAGCGGAGGGGCGGGCGCTGGGCGCAGGGGGACAGCGACAGGACCCGGGGGGACAGCGTGGAGCTGGGACGGGGCAGGGTCAGGGTGGTGTTGGGGACGGGTCCTGCACCCAGAGGTGGCTCCCGTGGGATGTGGTCACAGCCGGAGCTCAGGTGTTTGGACGAGGGTCTGAGATGTGCAGTCCGATTTTTAGGTAGCCCTGTGTGGAGCCAGGGGTTGAGCTTGATGGTCCTGGTGGCACCTGGCAGATAACTAGTGATGGGACTAGAGAGAACGGCCTCAAGTGGCACCAGGGGAGGTTCAGGGTTGGAAATGAGGAGATGTTTCTGCTCAGAAAGAGCAGTCAGGCACTGGGATGGGGTGCCCAGGGGGAGTCACCGTCCCTGGGGGTGTTGAAGGAGAGGTTGGACGTGGTGCCTGGGGACTGTGGGTTAGTGGGTGATGCTGGCAGGGGGGGTGGTTGGAGCAGATGATCTTGGAGCTGTTTTCCAACCTTTATGATTCTATGACCCTTCCAACTCAAATATTCCGTATTTCCTTCACACCATGGTGCCAGCTCCAAGGCTGCAGCTGCAAGCTCCTGCAGGGCCTGGCTGCTTGCCGGGGTGCAGAGGGGACGAGGCTGCGAGCTGGTGGCTCCCAGGGGTGCAGGGCATGGCTTTGGAGGTGGTGTTCATCCTCTTGTCAGCTGAGCAACAGCTGTGCTGGGCTGTTATCATTCCTTAAACAAGTCTCATTTCTCCCAGTACAGCACGGTCGTACAGGAATCAGTCCCTGGGATCCAACTGGTGCTGGAATTAGTGACTGGGAGAGACTGAAGGTGCTGCCAGCCTTGTCTGTCCAGAGCCTGGAGCCTCCAGTGATGGGCAGTGCCTGCCTGCTCTGCCAGGAAAGAGTTAGGAGAGTTCACAAGAGTTTCTTCCCAATGGTCAACTATTTTGGGGGCTGTAAGACTTTTATACCATTTGTGTTTCAGGACGTTGCATAAATGGATATTCAGTAGTATAAAATGCTCAGTAGTAAGTGCGCGCTTGTATTAAGTAATGGTCTGCTCAGGTGCTGTCACTGGTTTCCCCCCAGACCGTCTGTATAGGAGCATAAAACCCAAAGGGGTTAGCTCTTTTTGTTAATATGGGTAACTTTAATTCCCTCTGTTAGCTGACTGTGCGCCATTTTAAACCAGTTTTCCTAAAATTCAGTGTGGCTCTTTACTATGTTCTGTCATCACTTCCCCACCCTGGTGGGGCACCAGCCATGAGTTTCTAAAAGAAGTTTAACAATGTCAGCATAGCCCTGTGCCTAGACTAATAGGAGGAGCAAACACTAACTCCTCTGGAGCTAGGGACAGAGTGAGATGTCTTTGGAAATGCTCTCCTAAAGCCTTGTCTGTAGCTGAGGTTAATTGCCTTACCTGTAATCACCAGACTGCTGCTTCTCATCGCCCATCTCTGAAGCCTGACCGTGCAGGTTGCAGACTTGCAGCTGGGGTGGGCCTTGTGTTTCGGTCTGGGTGCTCTTTCTGAACTGCGGAGGTACGTAGCTCATTGCCCTTCCCTTGCCCTGCAGCTGGCTGCAGCATGCTCTGATATTTCCTGTTTTCTCTTTATTGCTGAGGTACCCTTCTCTCGCACTGTCAGCAGTGCGGTTTTTGAAGGCTGGTGTGCGGTTTTTGTGTGCATCTAGTTCTGGGCTGCCTTTCATTCGTGACAATCCCATTTCTTCTGTGTTCTCTTTTGAGTCAGGGTTGACTCTCTTGCAGTTGACTTACGCTTCATGTGCAAGTTCCAGGTCAGTTTGATTATCTACTTCTCCTGTAAAATATATTTTTGCCTCTTGAACCCTGTGACATTCTTTTTATTTCTTCTACTCGGTGTGTCTTTTCTTTATTTGTTAGACTCCAAGCTTATTTATTTATTGATTATTGAGACACTCTTTCATTTGGTTAATTTGGGGCCTTTCTTTACAATTGTTTTCTCTGTGTTCTGTGTACAAATTCCAGGTCATCTCTTCGTTTGTTTTTGACAATCATCGCTAAAATACATTTTGAGCAGCCTCTGCACCTCATGTTCGGGTTCCTCAGTCTCTCATACATTAGTTCCCTGAGTTTATTCAAACTTCTTGTTTCAGATCGAGTTCTGTTTCCATTCTGTTCCCTTCCTTATGCCAAACAGACCCTGGATCACTCAGTCCATGTATATCTTCTATAGTTATTTTTTCTCTGTATGTACTGACCTCTAAGATAACATAATTTCTTGTTTGGTGACTATTAAATGAAATACGTCCACAGCTATCTGAACTCCACCAGTACTATTAGTGTTTGTTCTTCAGTTGCATACATGGGAGGTGAATCTCCCACAGACCCAGAAATCAGTGCTGGTAGAGGTCTTTATCCAGACTGCGGTAAGACAGAAGGGTTACACAGCAAACGCCCTGCAGTATGTGGCAGAGCTTCTCTCTGCTTCCTTCTGTAAAGGTTTCAGCTGGGCTGTCCCATCATGTTTCTTTTCTGTTGCTCTGTTCATGTCCATTTGCACGCTGTCATCTTGGTCTTCCATTTCTTCCTTTTGGAATATGAAGACTGCCCAGCTCTGAGGCCGAGTTATTTCTTCATCATGTTTCAGGGATATCTGAAATGGCTCATCTTTGTGTTCTCCCCACGTAGGCTACGCTGGTATACAAATACTTGGTTTGTTCTTACTGCTCAAATCCTCATTAGAAGGCACAGGTATCTGCCATCATTATTAGTCTTCTGCACTTTGTTTTCCTTCCTACTTACTGCTATTCCTTTGTCAATACTTACCTGATTTTCATCTTCCTGCACGCTGAAAGCAGGCACATGGGAATATGTCTTTCCCATCCTTCTTTCCTGGTTTAATATAAAGTTGAAATCAGGGCTGGCAAAATGGACAGTGGACTCGTATTCCCAGTGCTTGGGGTATCCCATCCTTCATGGAGGATCCTCTTACTGTGAATGTTTCTAGTGCTTCAAATCCTTCACGTCGTTGAACCTTGTTGATGTTTGTTATCTTTTCACAACTTTTCACAACTTGTGTTTTTTCTCTGAGGACTGGAGTTGTGTTTCTATGCACATCATCCTTGGTGTGGTCTGCTCATCCGGCACGTGTGCCTGTGAGGATCTCAGAGCAGCATCTCCCAGTGTGAATGGGGTCTGTAGGTTCTTATGCTTGATCTTAGCAGACTGGGCATCATCCCATCCTCTGGGTTTACTCAAGGCAAGTTGTCTACTTAAAGTGTTGGTGTGAATCACAAACCCTTCATCCTTTTGCTATTTCTGTGTTTGCACATCACCTCAGCCTCACAGCCCCAAGTATCCTGCACACTTCTTGTAGCATCTCCTCCCTCAGCCAGGGTCCTTGTTCCTTGTTCCTGTGCTGTGCTCGTGATCTCGGTGCTCAGCAGACTTGTGTAATGGTATTACTGTGTGGTGTTCTCCTGCCATCTCTGTTACATGCAGAATTTTTTGCCTAGCTGTTGTAGACCTAGGGTGGGAGGACTTCACTCTGAGTTACTCTTTATTTGTATTGCAGCAAAAGGTGAAGAGATCTTGTGTGTTTCTGTAGCTTGTCTGTCCCATGGCTGTGGAAAACTCTGCTTTTTTGCTGTCCCCATGCAGGTGAGCTTTGCTCTGCTGAATAAGCAATGTTTTCAGCGACTGTCCTGGAACTTGGAGGTGTTTTTTAGGTACCTGTTGGCCAAGTTTTCGAGATGAGAATTGTGAACTTGTTACCTGTCTGGAGGGAAGTCTGTGTGCAGGGGTTTCATGTGTTGGCTTTCAAATGCCAGTTACTGCATGCCAAGCTGGGAGAGGTAGGGAAAGGGACAGCTGAGGCCTGGTTATTATGCACCTTTATAAGATAATTCTTTTCTAGGCAGAGGTTATCAAGCTTTCTGCAAGTATTTAGGGCTAGCTTTTGGCATAGATAGGGTAAGCAGTGGTCATGGGTGGTAGAAAAAGTCTAGTAAGAGGCCACAACTGCTTTGGTGCCTAATTTGACCCTGCCTAAATGTAGTGCTGCTTCCGAAGGAAGAAGTATGGAAGACTGCAAGAAGCTGCAGGCCTGGACCTAGCTGGACGTTAACGCCTGCGATGTGCTCAGCAGACCCACCAAGGTACCAGGGAGGGAATGGCTCAGTCCCAGCTGCCTGTGTCCTGGCCAGCTAGTTTCCATTTGGTATTAACCCTTCTCAAGCCCCTCAAACTTTCTGCAGCTGTTTTTTCCTAAGCCGTGGGCAGATTTGCTGTTGGGTGATTTAGTGTTAATTAGCAAAAAAAAAAAAAAAAAAAAGAACAAGAAACACACCACAACACCTTG